ATGCATGGAATGGAAATGAAACCCTTGTGATTACAGATGATGAATAAGGGTATATATATATATATATGATTACTTACAGATTGGACTTGGTTAAGTGGTCAAGAAGTAATCTACTTTCTGTTGAAGTAAGATGTTTTTTTCTTTTCTTTTCTTCTCTTTTTTTTTTTTTTGGAAAAACGAATAAGTTTATTAATTGAGTGCAAAGGATACAGATTCTATCAACTGGAGGAACGGGCTACTAAGAAGGGGAAACCAATAGAGCAGTTGGAGTTGATTTTGATTCAGAGCAATCATAGTGAGGTAGAACAGTGGGGTAGAACTTCAAGGTCTTAATAAGGAAGCACAACCTCATCATGATTCTGATTCTTAGTTGATGTTCCTTTAGCTCACGTGGAAAGCCTTAACTTGAAAGGTATAAAGGGTAAATGGAAAAGGATTTACTTAAAGCTTATGGATGCTAAATAGGGTAGCTTTTATTGGCTTCTCAACATCTCTATGATATTTATTAGTATAGGAGGCGCTCACGACTTATTTACTCTTTCGCATATAACACATCTCTACATGTTAGTGTTATAGATATATAGTTGCCTCATAACCCATGAGGCATTTGTAATGGATAAAGTTAGTGTACTTTTTTTAGTTATAAATAAAGGGATTAGTGGTTTACCTCTCTTATTTTTTAAAAATTAGGAAATTTTATTTTAAGTTATATTGTTTTAATAAAGTATCAAAAAATAAAAAACAAAAAATAAAAAACAATCCAACTCATGATTTAAAAATATGGTATTTTAACATTTTTCAATATGAATTTATTGAAACAATATAGTTTTGAAATAATTTTTCTTTTACCGTATGTTTGGTTTAAGGGGAGAAACCCTCCATTCCTCTCTCATCTCATTCTCTCATTTGAATAAATAAATAAACCAAAACAAATAATAAAACAAACAATTTCCATCCCCTCCCCTCCCCTCCCTTTCCCTTAATTCCTCTCCACTCAAATATACTATAATGTTGTTAATTTTTAAGAAATAAGGTACATGGGTACTTTTCTCATAAATAAAATCTATTATTCTTATAAAAAATGTAATAATAATTAATTAGGAATAAATATAAAACTCTACCAATTAATTATTATATTTTTACTTTATTAAAAAAATTAAGCCAAGTTAAATTAAACAAAAAAAAAAGAGAAAGAAAAAAGTATTATAATATTAGTTGAGAATTAAGAAAGCATGAGCCTGTAGCTCTTTTTTATTAAGGTGTGAACATTTCTTGATATGAAAGGCTAAGTGGCACATAAACCTGTGTGGGGGAGGGAAGTGAGATTAGGGAGAAGAATTTCCCCTGGATGGGTACAGCACCTCCACTATGGTGAGGAGACCCTTTTTTTCTTAAGAAACTTTTGCAGGCTCCTCATTAAGGGTGTAATTATCATTTATGGAATAAGGATTCCATTATCCTTCTTTCAAAATTTTTTAATATATATACATATAGGCATTAAAACTTATCAACCTTAACTCTCAAAAATTAAGAAAAAAATTATTATAAAATTATATTATTTTAATAAAATATAATAAAAAATAAAAAACAATTTAATTTGTACTTTAGAAATAGGATATATGTATGCAAATAAATGTAAGAAGGTGGAATTGATCAACAATCACTTTCCTGTTTTGGGCCTGGGATCAGTTAGATCAATGTTCCAATTTGGGTTTAGTGTACAGCAGGCCTACAGAGTTCTCTTCAGTTCAGTCCCAAATTATGGGCTTTAAAAGTTAATGACTCGAGATTTAAGATACTAGCCCAAAATTGGAGTATTACAACTTAGACCCTAGAGATTTTTGTTTTTTTATAAAAAAGGATAGCTTTAGACCCTATTGAGTTGGCAGAAGATTTTTTTTTATTTTTTGAGAAGGGTAATGGTTAAAAAGTTAATATAAATTAATTGTTAGCAACTGAGGATTCGATCCCAGATTGGGTAAACATTTTACTCTCTCAAATGAGGCGCGCAATTATTAAACCGTTTTTTGGTAAAGTTTACGACGGTGATAGAGTTCAAAACTCCGACCACCTTACTTAAATACCTAAAGTTGAGGATCAAATCGTTAAATTTAAAAGTTCGATTGGAGTTGACAGAAGATTTGAATTGAGAGACTGAGCAGACACGGAGACAATAATTGCCTTATCACATCGAACAAGCAATAATACCACTGCCCGCTCATCCGCCTTCCATCATTTTACCATATCATATGATTGTCACAAAATTTTCACGTTAAATCAACTTAACTACAGTATTATTTTTGTTGAACATTCATGAAAGAGTTATGATTTTTCTGTTCTTTTTTTAAACATGGAAAATTATAGGAGAACGAAGAGTTTTTAAGTTGTCGGTGGAGATGAATTTTTAATTAATTTAATTTAAATATTAAGATCTGAAAAATTATTGATATAAATGATTTAAATGATTTAATGATTATTTTATTTTGTTAAAAATAAAAAATTTTAAATTTGAATCATATGATATATGAATAAAATGTGATAAAAATAAAAAAAAAATAAATGATTATCTTTCATTATGTAATTAAAATTTTAAAAAAATTAAAAACAAATAATTGAGGTAAAAAATTTAATTAAAAAGAGTTATGATTATAAGCACATATTTTTGTTAAAATTATATTATTTTAATTAATATTTTAATAATTTATTAAGAAATATCTTCTTATTAAGCGCAAGTACTGTTTTCACTTTAAATAGTGTCAACCAAATTTGGCCTAAGATTCAAAAACTCTTAACTTCTTTCTTTTTTTCTTTTTTCTTTTATTTTCCAAAATTATAATTGTTTAAGAAAAAATGATAGAGCCAACCCCATCTGCAAAGGCCATGACATCCGCCACACCCTCGCCTAGCTATCTCTGCAAATCACCGCTATGCTACGTCTACCACTCCTGGTATCTACTGCACTGCAGCGTCACATTTACACATTTACACTTTTGCATTCTTTGGAGATCTAGCAAAAGCCTGCAAACTAGGTGGGACAAGAGGGGATATCCTTGTCGTGTAGCTTTCTGCACTCATCTGGCATATATGAACTCTATCAAGCGGTTTGATAATCGTGTGTTTCATTGAAATAGATGAATTATTTACTTGTTTTGAGTATTAAATCTTCAGTTATTAATATTTAATAATATTAATTTATTAATTATTGCTCTTATAAAAAAAAAAATCTACCATATATAAAGCTCTGCGTAAAATATACAAAATAACCAATAAAGTTTTTAATCATAGTTAAGGTTATGTTCTGTTAGACTGTCATAAGAGTGAGCTTTTTGTGATAACAGCCATTGTTCATGCCAATGCCATTGGAGCAAAGGATGTGATTGTGGATTGTAGCTAGCTAGCTAGTTTTAATCCCTTGTTATAGGGGATAGTTCTCTTAGATTGTTTAATTTATTTTATTTATGTATTATACCATTTGAGTTTAAGATCTCTTATTTCATTTAGGAATAAAATTATTATTAGATCATTTAATTTGTTGGCCATTCATTTTTTTTTTTTAGTATTTATAATCAAGGTATTTTTAGATCATCTTTAGTATAATTCAAAACTAATATCTTCTTAAATGATTTTACGGATGTATTCTCACATTAGTTTGTATATTTAAAAAAGATTTTTTTAACTTGCACCTTTAAAATATAAGTTAAGAGTGTCTTTTTAACATAAATATATATATATATAATATAAAAAATAACATTAATTTCAAAGTTATTGTTAATTGGATAAGTTTAATTAGAGAAATGATAAATTAAATGTCAATATTTTTTTTCAAAACTCTTAACCTTTGCCCTTAAGGTACAACTTAAAAAAATTCTTTAAAAAAATTAATTTTTTTAAATATTAATCATAAATTTAAATCTTAAATCTAATTTACAAAATTACATTTGCGTAGCGGTTCCAACTCTTAAAGTTACCTATTCTTTTCTTTTTTTGGTTCTATAACTGTTTGTTCTTCTATAACTGTTTTATACTTTTATTTGAGTTAGTCATGTAATCCTTAAAATTTTGTGACACTGCATCTCACTTTTTTGTTTTGTTTTCTTGGTGGTAGCATAATGAGAGGCAACCATCTCTTATCTCTTATATTTTATCTCACTCCATCCGTATGTTATGCGACTCAAATTTATGATCTCTTATTTCCAACAAAAAGAGATGATAATTAAAATACTTAAGTCATTGGGAAACTGCATCTGACTTAAATTGAATAGTTTGTGGTTAAATAAGAGAACAAATTTTCCAAACTCTTTTAATTAATATATAACATTTTTTCCTTTTTTTTTTGGTAAATTAACATTTTTTCCTTTACTAATGAATTCTATCACTTTTTACAAGTTTACAATAAAAAATAATTTAGTAATCTACACAATCATGTCCTTAATTAAAAACTTTCAAAAAAAAAAATAATTATTATGTTTAATAAAATTGCAAAAGTTATAAAAAAATTATTAAAAAATAATATCCTTAATTAATAAGAAAAAAATAACGGTTAAACCCTTAATTACACAAGTTTATAAAAGTTTGTGTTCATATTCAAGAAATGTAATTATCCAAATAACTTTTCATTTCATTTATTCCAAAGAGTTCTTAACACCGAATCTTGAATCAGAATTGCAATGTGATTCTTACACAAAACCCCTGTCTACTCTCTCAACGATGAGGCCATGAATCACTACCTCCTCTGCCCCCAGTATTTCCCCGATTCCCGGTAGAGTTCCGACGACCGATTAAGCTTCCCCATCACCGCATCCTTGATACTAACCTGCTCGCAGGATCTCTGCATTTTGACCCCGCTTAAACGACTCCTGAATTCCACCATCTCATTCAGGGAAAGGAGCTTCTTCGGCCCCACCGGATCCGGCCGCTGCTTCGGTTCGCTTTGGGACCTCAATTTCGCTTTGGAAGACTGGGTATTCGCCATGTAATTAGGAGAATTCACAGACTGCCGGGGCTTATCCGCACACACGCTCTTTGAGGGCGTCATAAGAGCGTTCGACCCGATAGAATCAGCCAACCTGGGAGTACCGTGCGCGGTGGAGAACCTGCATTCTGCGGCCCTTAATCCCCAGTCGGTGTCTTGCAAGTAACGACTGTCGGGTATCGCCAATCGAACCGGGTCCCGGGTCGAAACCGGCGAAGAAAATGTCTGATAAGGTGGTTCATCGGAGAAATCCAAAACAGAGGTTTTCGTCCGGCGATACCTTGGCTTTGGCCGGCCGGTGTCCACTTCCACGATTCTGGGATTTTCATCAAAATTGCTCATGACATTGTCGAAAGAGCCCCACAATCTTCTACTATGAATAGAAACTTTAGGCTCAGTTCTGGTATCATCAGACCTCTCCTGCAAATCAGGTCGAACAGAAGAACTAATTTAAAACGGAACAAGATTCAACTTCGTGTCCTACAAATGAATTGTCTGAAAAGCAAAGGAATTCACCATGAATTTTTCATTCTGAGAACAAACTCTCTGCAACAGAACAGTGGTTTGTGCTCTTATCAGGGCCTGCATACTGTGGAGAGTAGAAGTTGCCTGTTTCCGGACCAAATATCCTCGAACATGTGCTTGCAACTTCACAAGTCCTTTAAGAGCTCGTAGTGCTTTCCTGGCCTGTGTTGAATCGCAAAATTACAAAACAAACAGAGCCTTACAACTTTGTTTAATTTTAGAACTGTTTCTGTTTTGTTGGGTTGAGTAAAGAAAGAGAGAACTACTTACCAAGTAACCTCTAAAAAGGGTTTGAATCCTGACGGCGGCCCACTGTTCGCGTCCCTCACCAAAAGTGGTGCCTCTTCCGTGGCTTCTCAGTCTCACCAGCGCCACAGCCGCATGAACGGCTGCGACTGCCGCGTCGGCAGCGGCAGCTGTGGCTGCTGCCACCGCAATTGCGTGCTTGCTCTGTTCTTTCTCTGTTTCATTGTAGCATGACCTCAGCCAGGCTGCCTCTGCAGGGGAAATGTTGGGTGGGATTGTGGTGGGGTTGTGACACAACCTGGCTGAGTCTTGCCCTTGTTTACTGACGTTATGACGGTCGCCGGAATTAGAAGCTTCTTTGGTTTTTAACCCAAATAGCCCTTTCAACCACCTTGTTGCTCTGCCCATTTTCTGAGTACGGAACGCAGATTTAGAGTCAGAAAGAAATGAAAAACGGAAAAACAGAAAGGGGTGGTTTAAAAGGAAAATCTAAAAATGCTAACTTGCAAAAGAAAAGGCTGAAACAAAGCTCAAAATCTTATATTTTCCATTAACGCAATGCTGTTGATGAAAAATGTTTATCGTTCATGAAAAATTAAGAAAAAATATATTTTAAAACTAAGTTATCTTATTAAAAACAATTAATGAATTTATATTTGTCGTGATAGTGTTGAGCGATGTAGTTTTAAATATTTTTATAACTAATTATTTTTCCGTTCAATTGTTAAATACTGATCTTTCATATATTTATAACCAAAATCCCAAAAATGGAAACAGGGAAATTTGAAATTTAAAGAAATGCTGTCAAATTTAAAATTTAAAGAAATGCTGTCAAATGCCTTGTGAAGAATTTGCATTTTTTATATTTTTTATCATCAACTTCAAAAGCAAACTCAGCGTTAAAATAATGGGATATGTAATAAAAAATTGACAATATAATTCAACAACAATGCTTATCTTAGGCTTATGGCTACACTAAATTTATTAAGATTATTAAAATTATTAAATTTTTATCTTAATTTAATTGTTAAAAATAATTAATAATTGATAAAATAGTTATTATTTATTATTTAACAATTTAAATTAATTTATAAATAGATATTTTTAAATATCATAATCAAATATTAAAACTATATAAATTAATAAAATTATAATTAAAATTGCTGATCTTACCAAAATCTTTAATGGCAATAATATTAGTCTTTATTTTATACGTGCAAAAATAAAAAAACAATGCTTATTTTATAGTGGCTTTCTATAACATGAATCATACAAGTCGACATGGTTAATTTCACATTAATGTAGGTTATTTAAAAGATTTTGAATAATTATAATTAACTATACTATTTTTAAAAACCAACAAGAGTCTGGCTAAATTGACACCCACTGATTTAAAAACTTTAATTTATAGTTAATATCGAAAGTTTAAGCAATTAATTCTTCGATTTATCAAAAAAAAAAAAAAAAAAAGAAGCCATCTTCACGAAGAAGCATGCGTTATAATGTATTTTTTTGTTCTATATAATAATGCCACACTCTTTGCGACCTTGGAAAAAAAAAATATTGCATATAACTTGAAGCTACATGTATTCATTTCTAGTAGATTCACATTATATACCAACATTCTGATAAAAAATTATTAAAA